TTATATTCCCACTGGCTTGTAAAAAATACACATCGTTTACATCCTTTGTGAGTCTTTGGTGTCAGACTTTAAAATTTCTTTTGCCATCTCGTGGGGTGGAAAATGATATCTCTTTGAAGCTTTACTTCATGTTTTCCTCCTTATTAATAAGAATGAGTTTCTTGCCATCTTGGCTGTTCAAATTTTCTTTTCTGAGAAGAGCCTGTCGGGGAGCAGCTAATTGTGTTTTCTTGGAACCTTGGGGTCATGGCTGACTTTAGGCAGCTGGGGAGGGTGAGGAGGGTCCCAGAGGGAGTTAGGTGTTGGCCCAAAGTCCAGAATGGAACGGGGCAGGGGCATGGTTGCAATGGTAGAGACCAGGTGAGAGAGTCACCCAGCCTGGGGGCTTCCATTTGATTCTCTGCCTTGGTTAGAGATTCCTAGCTGTTCACTTTGACAATAAAATGTATCTGAGACTGACCCTCAGCATCTTTGAGAAGCCAGGCAGGAAATGTCCCTGTAGCAATTGGGGGGCCTGTGGTGAACTGGCAGGCATGGGGCTCTAGCCAAGTTTTGCACTGTGAAATATTACACTTTACGCTTTGTCAGGAAAAGCTCAAACAAGATGTTTTTAATAGGAATTATCCCAATTTTTAAATATTGGCAGCTAATTTTTAAAAAAGGCTCTTGGGGCCAAATAAACTGGGTCTGTAGATGCTGGATTTAGCCGCCAGTGGCCCCTTTGTGACCTGTGCTTTGGACCCGAGACAGACAGGATTCACTCCTCAGTCAGTCAGCAAATACTGCCTGCCTCCTGATGCCTGGATCCATGGGGAACAGGAGCAGAGTAGGCCTCTGACTTCATAACGAAGTTTAAGGGGACCTTTCATTTTTGATTGTGGTAAAATGTACATGACATAAATGTGACCATTTTAGGTGCATGCTTCCGTGGCGTCTAGCTCATTCGCATCATTGTGGTGCCACCCCTGTTCCCGCAGACCTCTTCATCATGCACAGCTGACACTCTGTACCCATTAATCAGTGCCTCCCTGTCTCCCCTCTCCTCCGCCCCTGTGACCACCTTTCTACCTCTATCTTCATGGTTTTGATCTACTCTCAGTACCTCATGGAAGTGAAATCATACAGTATTTATTCTCTCGTGTCTGGCTTATTTCACCTTTGCACAGGTTTTTCATGATGTGTCCCAAGCACTGTTCATCATCCATACTGTAGCATGTGTCAGAATTTCCTCCCCTTTTAAGGCTAAGTAGTATTCCACTGTACATACATAGCACATTTTGTTGATCATTCATCTTTCTGACGAATGCTCAGGCTGCTTCCACCTTCCGTCTCTTTTGAACAATGCTGCTAAGGACATGGGTGTGCAAATAGCTGTTTGAGAGCTCCTTTGGGTGTGTACACAGAAGTGGAATTGCTGGGTCATATGGTAATTCTCTGCTCAGTTTTTTGAGGATCTGCCCTATTCTCTTAGTATTTTAACCTGCTTTCTCTAATTAGGAATGTGCAGCTAGAATGTAGAGGGAAAATCAGCATTTTGGATAGTGGCAATTCACCTCCTTTCTAAGACTACATTCCAAAAGCATTTTTGAATATATCTGAACTCTTCTGGCTGCTAACTGACTGTTCTCGTGCTGTGATGATGGTGAAGACGATGACTGGGACAAGAGGTAAAATGCACTAGGTGCTTACTTTGTCCTGAGCACTGTTCTAAACACTTTTGCATGTATCATTTATCTTAATCATTCTATGAAGATTGTCCCAATTTTACAGATGAGGAAACTGAGCTACAGATAAGCAGAACCATAAAACAATGTTGGGATGAACAACGTTGTGTAATTCAATGCTTACCTTCACAAATGAGGGAAAGGAAGCTGGGGAGGAGATGCCAGAAGTCCCAGCACTATGCTGCGCTGAGCTGGGGTGAGCTCCCAGGCTTCCAGACGTCTAGAGTTGCCTGGCCCTGTGCTCTTGCTGCCTCTAAGACAGGATTCCATCCATTCATTTTGTTTACCCTGTTGACCCAGGTGAAACTTCATCTGAGAAGCTGCCGTGCTGCCTCGGAGTCCAGCTGGATATTCCTGGTCCTCCTCCGGATAATTACCAGGGCAGGACTTAGCTGAAATATGACGGGGGAGGATTACGGATTTGGCGCTAGGATTTTGTGAAAACACATGGAAGTAGCACATTCATATTAGTCAAGGGCTCAATAGGCCTTTTTAAGAAGTTGTGATAAATTTTGGCAAAATCAGGTTGCCCTGAGAAGCATTCAATGTCCTGTGAGGGAGTTGCTTCAAAAATTACAATTCTTCTCTCTTGTTAAGCTTATTTAAATAGTAAAAATCTGGAGTCTACATCCCCCACAAAGTTGCAACCCTGACGTTAGGGATTTTACAGTACATATGGTGGGCCTGTGTTTTTCATTATGTTCCCGACGCGTTAGGTTTTGCAGTTAGTCCGTGTTACACGTTTCTCATGTGTTTTTCTTGAACTTCATGAACTCTGGCATTTCATTTTGAGCATGTATATCCAAGGGAAAAGCGGCCTTTCTTTGATCTTCTGTGGGACCCCATTATGTTTAACCTAAGGAAGATTAGGGAGTTGCCATTCAACGCTGAACAAACACAAAACTCAGCTGCAAAGATGGCGGGCGCTTAATCTATTTACAACATCGACTCTGCTATGAACTAATTCCACATCAAGCCTTTGAAAAGCAGGCTTCAGAATGGAATTCCCATCTGCCTTGGGAGGCTATGGGCATATGGTCCAGAGTACTGAATGGATTGGCCTCACAAAGGAATCTATTTAGCATGAACTATTTAAACTATGGAGGGTTTTTAAACTTTGAAATCATTGTCAATGTGGGTTCCCCATATGGTAGTCAAGTTGTACTTTCCCTGAACTGAACAGCCGTTTCTGGAAAGCACCCTCACCTTCTAGTTATGTTTGTAATGACATCTGCTCAACAGGGCAGCTCCCACCTTTGGACAAACAATCCTCCGAGCTGGGGTGAACTTAGAGGGGCAAAGAGCTGCCAGTCGTCAGCACCTGGAAGACCATACGGCTCAGGTCCCCAACTGTTCCTTTCTAAAAATGGATTTCAGAACTCTGTGCACCTCTTAAATAGCTCTTTAAAGCAACATGCAGGTCTAATTATGACATTTTTTCCCCCCGTAACCTTAAAATAAGAGAGGAAGAACAAACAAAATCAAGCGTTAGCCTGTCAGGACTTTCAGTTGCTTGTCACCCCCAAGACATTGACGGAAGATTTATTCTCCTAATGAAGGCTCCAGCGCTAATGGTGGCCCTTGCTAGAATCAGTTAGGACTAAGTGTTATTTAATTCACAGTGAAGCAACAATCTGACTGAACTGTGATTAGTTCCAGCTTCTAGCTATCATTTATAGGTCACCAGGTGGCTAACAGCCTCAAATGAGGGACCATTATCTTTTGACAAGCTGAAGCATTTTCTGGGGCAATGGGAAGAGAAGGAGGGGTGCTACTCAGAAAGCCCAGCTCAGTACTCTCTCGGGGGATTATTTCATTCCTAACATAGCTTTGCTGCCACTTACTCAAAGGAACCACACTCGTGGATTCCATGTAGGGATGCTGAAGGCAAAGGAGGAAGAGACTTTCCTCATGGCCATTCATTTATCTCAGCAACTATTCCTTGAGTGAGGTGTGAATGAAAAGTGCATTGGTGGGTTCCCTGGAAGGAAGGCTAATATTCAGCCTGCTCGTGCTGGTATGGCTGTTCTAGATTTTTCTAGCCATTGTCCATTGTGAGGGGATGAAGCATTATGTGCTGATAGGTGGGTGCCAGCACCATAGTGATCGCTAAAACATCTCAAATAGCAACTTTGTCTGGAACAATGCTCCTGTGTGGAGCCTCTTTTTTCCCTAAGGAAATTCCATTTTAAATAAAACTGTCTTCCTTTCATCATGAAAGTGTTCCATATATTAAATAAAAGCTGATGACCTTCTGTTAATTTTAAGCAAGATGATGTGATGTTGTTAGAAAATAGCATTTTAGGTGTAGGAACAGTATGACTTGAAAAGGTGAGACAGTTGCGTGCACTTAGGAGCCTCGCCCTTGAATAGCTGGCCGATCACGATGAGAGTCCTGATGATAGCAAGTCAAGCCCATAACAACAGGGAGGGCCTGCTGGTCCCCAAGCGGGGGCAGCCTGAGCCCGCTGGGGCAGTGCGATGGCCCTGCTGCCGCCACCCACATCAACCTGCACAATGATACCTATGGTGGCAAGAATGGTCTTTTCCTCCCCCCTGAACTTGGGACACCCCCNCAAGTCAGTCTTAGAAGGAAAAAAAGGGAACCTGTTCATAGTTCTACTTCTGGAATTAGAACATCAGACTTTAATCAGTGTCTGTGTCTCTCAAGCTTCTTATGTATTGAACACACTCTGAATGCTAAGATTTTTGACAGGACATTAAAGGGGACTGAAATGTTCAAAATAGGAAACTGCTCAACAATAATGTCAAGATAGTCACCATTTTGGTGTAACATTGTCTAAATGTCCGAAAGCATCACCAATATCACATCATTTCTTGCTCCCCTTGGTTCTGTGTTGCTCTTTGAATGGAACTGTTTGCTGATCTGACTGTGATCTCGTGTATTAACAGGACAATGTTCTCACATATTCTAGAACATGCTGACTACCATTGGTGTTGGCATGGAGCCATCCTGGATAGTCGCTGTCATCCATTACCTGATCACTCAGCTCTGTGCTCCTCCTGCCAGCACTCCCGCTGGTGGCATAGTACTGCGGTTAAGAGAAGTTAAAAAGGAGAGACTGCGGACTGCTGGGGTCCAGATTTCCAGCTCTACCATTTATTGGTTGTGTGGCTTTGGGCAAGCTACTCAATTTTCTTGTGCCTCAATTTTTTCAACTGTAAAATGGGGTTAATAATGTCACTTTATAGGGTTACCTTCAGGATTCAAAGAGTTAATATGATAAAGCAAAATAATGCTATGCATAGAATAGGCACTTTTAATAAGTGTTAGCTTTTATTGTTTATTAGATTAGCCTCAGTTTGACCCACTGGCCAAGATTTGGCAGCACATGTATAAGGGTTTATGGCCAAGTGATAGCTGGTGGCATTGCATCCACTGAGACCCAGAGTACTATTAACTGTCCCCTTCCCAACTTGGCCTAAGCTTCAACAAGCACCTATGGGTCAAAGGTGAAACATTTTTATTTGGTTTCATCACAGAGGCTGAATAGAGTCTCATGACACTTATCCATATAAAATATAATAATGGTTGCAGGTATAAATAAGAATTACTCTAAGTATTCTAACTATTGCATAATGCACAGTCCTTTTTGTTGACTACAAATAAGAAATATATGAAGTCTAGGTGCAGAAATTTTCAAATTCAATTTCAGCAATTTCCAAAAATTGAATTATAGAACTAATGACACATAAACAATTAATTTTAAATGGAGCCAGCCACCTTAAAAATATCCGGAAAATACAGTTAAAACTTTTAATACTCCAAAAGATAATAAGATTTAAAACTATGTTGTTTGTTGGCCTGTCTTCCCAGGACCTAGCCCCTCTGGGAGCTGATGGTCCTCGGTGAAGTAGTATCACATGCCACTGGAATGTAGTCTCGGACACAGAAGCTCTCTTGGTTTTTGGTCCATAAACAGAGCCAGAATTCTCTCATTGCTGGAAGATTCTTGAAAAGAAGCCTTTGCTTTCATTATACATTTGGCTTCACAATCTTCATTGATAAATAGTTCTGAAAAGGAAACAGAAACAATGTTTATGTGTATATTTAAATTAGGGTTTTTTTTAACCTTGGCACTATTGACATTTAGGACCAGATAATTCTTCCTTGCTGAGGACTGTCCTGTAAACTGCAAGATGTTTAGCAGCATCTCTGGCTTCTGCCCACTAGCTGTTAATAGCACCTCCAGTTATGACCTCTAAAATATCTCCAGAAAGTGCCAAAAGTCTTCTGGGGGGCAAAATCACCCCCAGGTGAGAATCACTGGTTGAAACCAACAGAATCTAAATCAGGAAGGAGAAATAACTATGAGGAGTTTTGTAAATGGTCAAGACCGATTGGATGACCTGCAACTAGAAACGAGTGTGCATATACTCGTAGTTAACAAACTGAAGTATTATATGGGAGAAAAATGGAAACATAAAATCCCCATTATTGTGGTTGTATGACTATGCTTCTGAACACAGACTGTTCTGTATTATTATCATTATTTTCTTAAGGTATTATTGATATACACTCTTATGAAGGTTTCACATGATCTGCATTATTGTTTAAATGAACTGAAGTAAGAGCTTTTGAATGCCTGGATTATCCCTTTTCTACTTGGCTAACTGAGCTTAAATGACCCTCCTTGGTGAAATCATTCTCAGCAATGGGATCCCATAGTCATATGTTCATATCTCTTTAACAACTTTTCTCTCATAGTAATTTACTTGTTTGTATGTCTGCTTGTCCCCAGGCTATGAACTGCTCATGGGCAGAAATCATGCCTTGGTCATCTCTACACCCCAATTTCTCACCTACAGTAGATGCTCAATAAATTCCCTGGAGGCATGAAGGTACTAATTCCAGGCACACTGGCAAACATCCCCTCTGGCCCCCTCTTATGATGGGGTGAATAGGAGAAATTTAAGGAAGAGGTATGTGATGTGGTCCTCAAAGAATGAATAAAGTTTTGGTAGACAAAACATGAGCGAAAGAACACACTGGCAAAGGCATTCTGGAGATAAGGACAGTAATTGTTTGAGGGGCAACTATCTAGTTTGGGTGGCATTCAGGGGTTGTGTAGAGCTGTAATGAACTCACATTTGGGAATCCATGAACTCTAGGATAGGGAGTTAGGATGCAGGGTCGTTTGGAGGAAGACAGTCTGAGGACAGGATTTGTGGGAAATGCTGGCTATTGTCTAGACACACATTTATTAAGGCCTGAGAGATTTCTCCTGGAATTCCTGAAACCAAAGATTTTTTTTCAGACCGTGAAGTTCTGACAGTGATTTGTGAAACCCTAAAAATGTAATTCTAATCACAAGACACATTACTTTAAATTCTCTAAAGGTTAAAGGATTCCTAAGTTGGTCACTGTACTGAGCAGCAATAAAGGCAAGTACCAAGTTAGATGACCCACCATAATTCACACACAAAAATGCCAAGATAAGAAGCCGAGGACTCTCACCGGCAAGGAGTACAGGAGCACGGCCAGGAAGAGCAGCAGGACCAGCAGGACCAGCAGGCCAATGATGACCCACTTAAATCGGCGCCACACAATGAACTTCATGGTCTTACAGGGGTTGGTGAACCAGAGGAAGGAGGTTTCTGGTCGGCTGCATTGCAAAGAAATGGTCTTACTGACCCAATTCAGGAGGGACAGATATTTCACCTCAGAGCATCACACAGTTTAAAGAATAATGAATAACATTTACAAAGTCAAGAAAAGATATTACTCCCTTAGTTGGCTGAGAAAGATGCTTTAGCCTTTTCTTTAACCTTCCTAAGATGCTGAAGACACACTGGACTTTTCATGGGAAAGGAGAACGTTTAAAATGAAGCCAGATCACCAGTCTCTCCACTCCCACCCTCACCCCCCTTATGTGCAAAATTAAGACAAGAGATAATTCATTCCACTAAGCAGATTGGAAGGGGGGCTTCTAGACTGCAGGTGTTTTGGGATCAGACAACATGGAGAACAGAGAGGGCTTTACTTTGGGGGGTCCAGCTTGGGGTTCATGTTGGGCTCGTCCCGTCCCTTCCCGGAGGGCCTCTCGTCTGCCTCCTTCTCATTGAGCACTTCCAACGTCATCTCCACTTTCCCCTTCAGTAAAGCAGAACAAGTCAAACACATGACATCATGTTTCACAAATATTTTCACTTCAACCCAAGGAGTATTCCCTGAGCAACGATTTTTATTTTTGTAAGACAATCCTTAGATTGCCTTAAATTTTCCTCAGGAGATTTCATCACATTTCCTCTTCCACGTGTTTCTGCACCGACTCTTTGTGGGAAGCTGAGAGAACAAATCGCTGTCCCTCCTCGTGCTCCCTGCTTCTTGTTCTCTGTATCCCCGTCCCTCTTCCTTACATCCATCTCCTCACCTTCTCACCTCCTGTGTAAGTTTATTCAGACCCAGATGAACCTAAACACTGCTAATAGCGATACCTGACATTTATGGAGCATTACCTGTAGGCTCTAGGTGCCCCATTGTGCCCCAGTGTGCCGAGCAGTGCTGGCATTAGGGGTACTTGATGTACACTTGCTCAATAAGTCAGTGAATGAGGGAGTGGGTGAATGCCTCTTCCCTGTCTGCATTCTGAGGAGATGCGCTGGGCACTGTTAAGCCTTTCTATGGATAATCCCGTGTATTTCTCACGCAACCCTATAAAGTACTGCTATTATTACCCTCATATCTCTGAGGACACTAGGGCTAAAGAGATCTAGAAAAGTGACCACTTTTTCAGCCAGGCTTACCCAGGCTGGTACCAGGCTTTCTAGTACGTTGGGATGCCCATTGGTCATCAGCAGTTGGAGAACCCCCCAACCCAAACAATAGTTTAGGTGGTAGAGCCCACATGACTCCTGTGTTGGCAGGTCAGACAAAACCGGATGCCTGACTCTGGCAAGTTGCTTTGTCTCTAAAATGGAGATAATGGCTACTTCATGGAGTTGTTAGCAGAAGTAACTGAGATTATGTGCAAACTAATCTATAGGAGCAGAAAGCAGATAAGTGGTTTCTGAAGCCAGGGGCGGAGGGGATGATGAATTGCAAAGCCAACAAGGAAAGTTTTGGAGTAATTTCATAGATTTTGGGAATTCCACAGATTTTGGTAATTTCATAAATTGATTCTGATGGTGGTTTCATGAGTGTATACATCTACCAAAACTCATGGAATTGTGCATTTTAAGTGGGTTCACTTTATCTTATATAAATTACATCTCAAAGTTGTTTTTAAAAATAAGATTATGAATGCAAGGCACTTGTCTGGTTCATAATCAGTGATCTAAAATGTTACCTACTATTAATAATCCATAGTGAATTAGGTAGTCTTTTGTGACATGATGTGGCAACCCACACTTATGTTTCTGTATCACAATTTTTTTTGAGTTCTCCAAACTTGCTTGTAAGTTACAACCTTCTTCAGTGGATGTTGGCACTCCCTGCTTCCTCCAGCTTTTTAAAATTTAAGTTTTTTAATGAGAAGAGCTCGAATTTGAAGTTCTTTTTTCTGTACTGAATTGTACTGGAAGCTCAGGATAGATCAGCCTTCCTGGTGAAGGAGGGTGCTGAAGAAACAGTGCAGCCACTCCAGCTCCCAGTTTGTCCACCATTCTAATCCGTCCACCTTCCACTCAGCTTCAAACACAAACTCACAGCATGTGCCACCTTCTCTTGGAATCCCAGCATGAACTATTCCCATAACTTCAAGTCCCACCCATTTAATCCTTCTTTGTCTCACCTGGAGTAAATCTACTGACAAAGGGAAAAACCAAAATGATAAAGGAATAAATGACCCCAACCAGGAAATGCTCATACAGCCATCACACGGGTGCCGTCTTTGTCTGCATAGCACGGCCACCATCCTCTCATGGACTTCTGCTCGAAGAGTGAGGCGGTTTTAGCTTTAAGAGGGTTCATGACTTTGAGGTCTGGAGTCATGTCCAAATTGCATTTCTCTGATGATTTTGCTGGAATGATGGTGTGATGCAAATCAAGTTCCAGGAAACCTAGCCAAGGAAACATGAAACCCAAATAAGCTTCAGGTGGATCAGCCATTGTTCACAAGTGAATAGAATGATCTTGTCAGAGGGGAGGCAGACCAATTTGAACAGGTGATGGGTGAGTTAGAGAAAGGGACCCTGGCAGACATTTAAAAATTTCTGGATAAGATGGAAAGTGGCAAAAGAAATACCTGTCCACTGCTCTGCATCTTACAGAGAACACATTTTGTTTCTAAAGACATGAGCATAAATAGCACTTCTACAAACTCAAAATAATGAAATATCTATAGACAAGATTCCTACTGAAGTTAGATTTGAAATTTGCTCATACTGGTTTTGAACACAGGAGTCATCTGGCTTTGGGTACAGACAACTGGTACTCAAAAGACAGCAAGCCCCCTGCAATAGTCACACCCACATCTTTCCTAGTGTAATCTCAGAAAGGGGAGCTTGAGAAGGAACATAATGACTCAACAGAAAACCTTCTCCAGGAACTAGGAAGCCCAGAGCAGGATACCTGGAGAAGCATGTTTTCTCTTTCCTGACATGAAGCAGTAGCTCTTTAGTACTACTTTAACTGACCGTCTTTTCTGCTAGGGAACTCCTGTGAGCCCTTTTCCTAAATGAGGTGTGGGGTCCTGTCTATGGACTCCTGCGACAGGAGCTGGTCTTCAATAACAGCAGCAAAAAGCCACAGGGAGGTTATGGCAGGTTCTCTTCACACTGTCAGGTTTAGAAGCTGCCCTTCATTTTATAATGGATCTGTAATGCATTTAGTCAGCCTTCCTTGAGTTTATGCCTGCTTTTATCTTGTCTCCTTTCTGGTAATAACTATAGCCATTTTCCCACTGGCCATTTTCAAAGAGTCATTTTCTTTGTTTTTGTCAGATGTTTTCCTTAAATTCCAAGAGAGAACTGTCTACCATTCTAGAATTTACTGCCTGTATGCTCTTTTAAAAGTTAGCATAATTGCATATTCATGTGTTTGTTCAACTCTGACTAATTACCAGCTAAGTCATGGCCACTGTATTCAGTGCTGTGAGGGGAAAAGGGATGAACAAGACATGGCCATTGGCCACGGTGGGCTTTTCCTCTGCCAGGAAAGATGCCCTGGGAGAAGGTGGAAGCAGGGAGACAGGTCAGGCCCACTATATAACAGTTGGCTAGAGAAGATGAGGTCTGAACTGGCAAGTGGCAGAGATCATAGAAGTAAGAAAATAAGTGGGTATGGTAAAGCATATTACAGCATTAGGACTGAGTTGGGGAAAGGAGAGGAGGACCCACAGAGGACTCTGGGTGCTTTACTGGTGGCTGGGACAACGGAGAGGCCCTGAACAGCAAAAGAAGCTCATGAGAAGAGCAGGTGAGTCAGGGAAGAAAAGTTGAGTTTGATTTCATTCATGATAAAGTTAAGGTGCAGATAAACATAAAGGTGAAAGTTTGTGGTGAGGAATTGGCAGTAATCATCATGATAGTTTCTTTTGAAAAACTGAGATATAACTGAAATATAACACTGTCTAAGTTTAAGGCGTAAAACCTGTTGATCTGATATACCGATAGATGCAATATGATTCATCAGAACGGTTTCCTATCAATGCATCAGGCACTGTGAGCAGTCAGGCTACACATCCCGGAAAATCAGAAGAGCACTGTGCCTCCGGGATGGGGAAGTAGGGGGAATACTTAATAAGTTCCTTTAGCCACCAAGGAGGATGTGCCAGAGGAAAGAACATGGCTGGGGACACTAGGGATCTCAGTAAGTTTTGAGAGCAGCACCGGGGAGGAGGGAGCCCATGCTGAGGCCCCGAGGAGAGAGGGTGGTTGGAGAGTGGAGGCAGGAGCTGGCATCTCCTGATGGAAACAGGACTTGACTCTTCAGAGCAAGACAGGAGTAGGTGTCAGAGCCTCCGTGGGGGCCCCTGAGAGTGGGTGGGGCCCAGTTATGGGATGGCACTCACCATGCCCACTTCTCAGAGGACCTGAGGCAGCAGACAGGCAGGCCACAATGCCCGGAGAACGTCCTGGCAGTGAGTGTCCACCAGACCCAATTATCCATAGTACTGAAGATTGAAATAATTGATTCCTAGTTTTACTTGATTTCACTATTCACAGTACAATTCTTTAGAGAAAAGAATCCCTACCCAAGTAGTCGTCCAGAGAAAACTTGTCATTATCCCATATCTGAATGATCAGTCTGGGTGGGACCCGAAATTCAGTTTGATCAATACTCCAGAAATGCTCCTGAAATAAGAAACAGATGGATTACTGGCCTCTGAAACCTTCCCCTTGAAACCCCAGCATCAAGGCATGGGCCTTTCCTCTCCTCGGCACCTCCAATACCTACTCTCCTTGGCCCTCTCTCTCCACCCCGTGTATGGAGGGCAGTCGTGTTCCCCAGGAAATCTCAAGGCCACCAGCTGGGTGACAAAAAGGATGTCCCAGGCAATTCTCAAACAGAAGGCTTCCTTCCTACCATGTTCCTATTAGTGTGACTTCCTGCTGCCAACTCCTGCGGCTTGGGGAGTGACTGTATCTCTCCCCTAAGACCACAATGGCCTGCTTAGATTATCTTCCAAAAGCCCGGCCACTCTAGGCCGACCCACACTGTCCCCCACTGGAGTGTCACCTCTGCTCAGTGACCTTCTGCCCACCTCACATGGATGTCTGAGCACACTCGTTTCACATGGGGGTGAGGAGACTGGGGCCCAGACTTCACTCTTATCCGGGCAGACTTAAAATATCCTGACATTTTTGGCTTTTGAAAAATATTGCTGGGCTTTACATGCTGTGGTCAGCTAAGACCCTCAGGTCCCTCATAATAGAATTAGGTGGAGGGAGGACTGGGTAAGGGTCCTTCAAATCCTCACCTCTGATCCCTGCCTCTGCCCAGACAATATTAGTCAAGAAAAACACCACCTCCTCAGCCTAATACACCTAAGTTCCTCTGGCCCAGCAGAATGGAATTCCCCCAGTGCTTCATGAATTTGAAGGAAGATGGTTGGGTTGTTTCTTGTTTTCAAATGATATTCCAAGAATGTTCCCCTTTACAGGACTCAGGAGGCCTGGCTCTTAGGGACCAGGAAGCCCACTCTGCTGTTGTCCAGCCCCACCTGACTGTGCTGCGTGGGGTCCTGGTCCAAGCACCACTCACAGCATGGGGAGGCCCAATACCAGATGTGCGTAAATAGGAAAGGTAACTCTCCCGAACCCGTCCCCTTCCCCCTGCATCTGCCTCACCGTCTGTGCACAACTCGACATCAGGGTGAGCCTCTGTATCTCTAGAAATGCCACGTGAAAGCATTCACCTCACAGAAAAAGGGCTCACTGCCACATGAGCACTGAGTGGGGCAGCTACAGGGCAGGGTCTGGCCAGGTGGGACACGAGGCAGGTTTATTTTGATCTGTGAGGACAGGCGGAGACTCAGCAGAGCTCAGGCGAGTTCACAGATGGTGGGGGCAGGGATGGCACCAGTGACCTATGAAAAGCCATCTGTTATTATTGCCCGCCCAGGTTTCAGGCTCCTTTGTGGGATGAAAGCACCTGGCTTTTCCTTGAAGACCCCCTCCTGCAATTGGGGAGGAATGGACTCCATCCCTAACTCCAGAGCTGGGCCAGTCAGAGCATCGCCTCCCCTAGGCATCGAACCAGTGGTTGGTTCTGGGATGGGAACATGACCCCAGACAGGCAAAGACACTGAGGCCCACTTCCAGGACTCTGGTTGATGCCATTGGGGATTAGCTCTTCTCTGGCTGCTGAGGTCGCCAGGAGGGCAGGACATGAGCTGGGGCCACTGACAGCCTTCTTGCCTCCACCAGGGAATGAGGCCCACAGGAGAAGGCAGAGCAGAGAGGCAGAGAAAGTGAGGACAATTTCTGAAGACACCAGTCCAACCTAGGATCCAGGCATTCCTTGAGCCAGACAACCTTGGACTTTTTAGTAATGTGAACAAATAAATCACTTTTTTGGCATAAGCTAGTTTGAGTTCTGCAACTGAGAACATACTAATTAGGACCATGAGGGTCACGAACACTCACGGAAGTTCTGAAGGAGGTAAGGTGGGAGCTGAGGTTTAATAAGGAAGGTAGAAGGGAAATTTCACCTACTTGAATATTTTGCCTGTTTGGTTAATAAGTCAAATAGTTCTGCTTATCATGGGAAGAAATTGATCTCCTGTGACATAAAAACACACTTGGGTTGGTGTATACATGACACAAGACCCCCAGATCTACCCTTTGCCAGATTGTTCACCTCGTTGCCAACATGTTATGGAAGGAAAGTTGTGTTCCTTGTATTTCTTATTTACACAAATAGCTGTCACAGCTGTGTGGCCCTGGACAGGTATGTACACCTCTTAGGACGCAGATTCCCCATCTCTCCCAAGAGGGAGCTGGACTCGTGACTTCTGAGGTGCTGAGCAGCTCTGACATTCTCTGAGTGGCTACGTTAAGGTAGACCCACGACATCGACTCCCCACTGGCACATTTCAGAGCTCACTTTTTTAGCAACAATACAGAGTTGTTCAGCTGGGAGGTAGTCAAATGGGAAAATAAATCTCCAGTTAAAATTCCCTTCGCCATCCAAGGACCTGTAATGCACATCTGTTTTCTGTTTGTTTTCTTCATTGCCAGGAATCCAGCTGAAAAGCAGAAGCAAACAGACTTAGCTTCTTGTGATTGACAAGTAATCTAGCTGCAAAATTGTGCAGTGATAAGGGGAGTGAAGGCAGAAGAATTAATGCACGTTTCTTGGGCAGGTTCCAGTTGTCTATGGAGCTGGGGGGTGATTTATGAAGGGGAGGCTCTGTTGCATCCAACACAGGTTGTAGCCAAATAAAATATAATTCCTCTAAAACCAAAGCAGGAAACCCTTTAGACTTCAGTTAACAGGGATAAGGTGAAATTTTCTGGAAAATATCAACAACTTAGCTTCTATTTTGGGAATATTGGCTCTTGCTGGCTATGATGTTAGTGTTCATAACTATAACTCATCAGTGTCTGTCATCACTGCTGATAGGCTCAATGAATATGAGTTAGTACAATATTTTAGCATTTCCTTTTCTATATTTTACTTATGCAAACAAAGGAGGCATGGCTCATCTTACAGCTTCCTTTTTTGTTATTTTTAAATTCACTATGATCATATTGATGAGACTAGAAAAGGAGATGTCAGCTGCTATTTCCATATGCATATCTATGAAAAGTCATTTCCATAAACAATTTAATATCTTAACTTTTAACATCTGAAAAGTTTCCTCAGGTTTGTGCCCAGTACAAAGGTCCGTGAAAGGAAGGAAGAAGGAAGGATCGTGCCTGGGAGGAAGCTGTCACATCAGCCTGCTATCGGGAAGACTTCTAGTTTGGAACCAGGGACACTAGATGTTAGACTGGCAAAGTGGTCAAATGTGTGGTTCTCAACATGAATGTTCTCTGCACACATTGGAATCAAATGGGGATCTTTTAAAAATAGTGATGCCTGGACCCCACAGACAGAGATTCTTGGTAGGAGGCAGGACTGGCTGTGAACTTGCTTGGCCACTTAACTCTCAGTGTTTCATCTCCCATGTGCAAAATGAGGTTAGTGATATGTGCTCCCTTCATGTGGTCAACATGAGGACAGAATGAGAGATCATGGCTTAGAAGGGCCAGAGGATGAAAGGAGAAATCCTTAACTTCTTATTAATGGTCATCTGCTATCAACTGGGTACTTAGCATACCTTATTTAATCTTCCTGACAACTGTATAACCATCTCCATTTTACAGATGAAGAAACTGAGATTCAGAAAGGAGGTATAACTTCCACAAGGTCACACAGCCAGTAATGGACAGAATTAAGTATAACTTCCAGGTCAGCCTGACTCCAAAGTCCAGGCCTGTTACTCTGCCGCAAAGGACCATGGAGACCAGAAAGTCACGTGCTAATATTAGGTTCTAATTATTAATACTGGTGTTCATATGAACCAACTACAACAGTTTCACTTTTTGCTAGTCAATGAACTGACCAGACAGACTAGTTGAAAGATGTTTTTTGTCTGTTAACTTTTAAGCTTTTAAACTGAAACATCATACTCTTCAGCTATGAAATAGTTGTTTCTACCTCCTGACAATATCCTCAGAGTGTCACCAACATCCTCCCCCAGAATATTCCCTGCAGCTCTTCCTTCTGTTTTTCCTGAATCATTTTAAATATGAATCTTTTCACATTTTAATTTTAAAACAAGTTAAACAACTACTCAAAGTGCATGTATTTGTGTACATGTATGTATAATTTTGTATGTAATACCCATATATGTGCGGTGCTAGTCATGTTAATTATGCATTATTCATTTTACATGTAGTATTTAGATTTTAATTCCAAATATGACATGGTACTTTATAGACTGCACCTTACTCTTTGGTTAGAGGAGTTTTCTCTCAGTCCAGTATTACTTGAGTTTGTTTTTCTGATTTGAAAAAAAAAAAGCAATGCTTGTGATAGTCAAATAATTTGCATGTATATAATTAGCTGGGATTAGTTTTCCTTGGGGAATGGTAATAAGATCCTGAAATGAGAAAGAATAATGAAGAACTTGATGAAACATTCCCTGTTTACAGTGAACATAAATGATATTAATTATGTCTTAAAGTTTTGATTGAAGGCCACTTGGGATCATAAGTGAAACTTTGTTCTCACCTTATGAATATTAAATTTCAATAAATCTTATCTTTTACATATTAAGGAACCAAACCAAAGTTTGTGTGTAATAGTAATAATACTGGCTAACACTCACATAGTGTGATGGTTAATTTTACGTGTCAGTGTGACTGGCCACGGGGTGCCTAGATGAAACATTACTTCTAGTTGTGTCTGTGAGGGTGTTTGAGGGGTGATTAGGATTTAATCAGTGGGCTCAGGGAAGTATGGGCAACATCCAATCTGCTGAGGGCCTGAAGAGAACAAAAGGCAGAGGAAGAAGGAATTCACCCCATTTTTTCTTCCTCACAGACTGAGCTGGGACATCTCATCTCCTCTCAGCCTGACCTCAGACTGGGGTCACACCACCAATTCCCCTGGTCCCAGGGCTGTACCACCAGCTCTCCTGGGTCTCCTGCAGATGCTAGATCATGGGATGTCTTGGCTCCATAATTATGTAAGCCAATTCTTCATAATAAAGCTCTGTCTGTCTGTCTCTCTCTGTCCACACACACACCTCCTTCTTATTCTGTTTTTTTTTTGGAGAACCATACACTATCCTAAATACTCTGAGTAACTCACTCCTCTGAATATCCCAGAGCAGGGGGTACTTTTACTATCTCTATTTTATAGATGAGGAACAGTGAGTTTACTAACTCGCCCAGATGATAGGGAAAACACCAGGGTGTTAACCCAAGTTGTTTGACTCCGGAGTCCGGCTTCTTAATCACTATGCCATTCTGTACTCAACATTTATGATTAAGGCATAATATGAAACTACTGTTAAAATGGGCAATCTGGACTTGAATCATGCAAGTAGCAGAGTAACGAATAACTATGACACTTTCATGGTGGATGCACACTTTTAGTAAATGTTGGTGGAATCAATGAGTATGCCAATGTTTCCTCTTTTGCATGGACATTAGCTGCCAGTAATAAAATATATTGAAAGTGAAATTTTGGAAGCCTTATTTATGGTTCTCAGGCTAGTTATTCCAAGTATCAAAAAGGAATAAAAATTAACTCCTTGACTAAAAAGTCTCAGGAAGAACAAATCTGCTTTATAAACTGAACAAAACCCACTTTCTTAAGAGAGAAATGAAGAAATATTTATCAGTTCTTAAAGTCATTAGCTACCTCTGCTCATAAACAATAGCCATACAGATTTCTCTTTTCTTTCTGTTCTCTCTCCCTTTGTCTCCCAAGAGCTTCCTGCACAAAGTGCATTAATGAGATAAAATAGTATCCAATACCCAAGGAGCCTATAGTGGACACCTTCAGTTATGAAAACCAGTGAAGGAGAGAGCCTGTTTCATTGTCTGCATTTGTCAAAGGCTCTTGCAAACCTTACCCTTTGACATAGATGTCGCTCATTTCCTCTCCTGTGATGCTCTTCTCATCCAAGAGAACGTCCTTGGTATTCCAGATGATCACACGCAGGTAGTATCTGAAAGGAGTACATTTTGAAGGTGATTTTTTCTCTAACCCTGCAACAAGATCCCAGTCCAATACAGCGGGGCTCAAGATTACTTACTTCTTGGCTTTCCGGGGTGTGATATTGAAAGGAGGGCCTGGTGGCCCCAGATTCTTGGGGAAAACATCCACCCACATTTGAAGTTTTCCCTAAACCATTCACAAATGGAAAGAGAAATGAAGTCATGTTATGGGTGGCAGACACTATAATTCTCATATTTCCTAGGTGGAACTATTTATCCAGACCTGCTAAATTATTAGTCCATATGGAAGGCAAAAAGATAGAGTAGAAGAGTGAACCAATACGAATCATCCATCTCAGTGTCACTTACGCACACACTCCCCACTCGCACCCAGGAGTCTCTGATGCTGCATGTGCTCACAGGCTAATGGTGAATAAGACAAGGGGCTTCCCGCCACTAACAACCCCCAACCCACAAATGTTCTCACGCTCACACACCTTCTCACAACCATTTAAAGTTGGGCCCATTGTTCTTAGAATGGTTCTCACGCTGTCTCTATTCATCATCACATTGCCTACTTGGTGTCAGTCCCAGATTTGTGACGCCCAAGGGTTTCTCCACTTACCTCCACATAGAAAATCAAATTAATGTAAATGGTATTTAATTTTATAAAGAAAGACTTGCAACATGGCACTTTCAAAGGAGAGACTTCAGCAATGACCAGAACAATACTGTTCCAAAGTTGAGGAGAAGGCCCACGGGAAGGGGAGGCTGAGGGCCTGGACTGGCCCCCATGCCACCTTCTTGGGGAGGCCCTGCTCAGGTCTCTGACCGCCACAGACCAGGTCCATCTATGCAACTGGAACATCCTTCCAGACAGGCTAGGAATGCCATTAACAATGTTATCAACCATATGAACAATTTAAATTCCCCAAGCTGTTTTTGGAGGTTCTGTAGATTCTGCCTTCATGACAAAAACAGACTGACCTTTAAGGAGGTTGCCAAGGAAACCACTAGATTGGCTTCCTAATATATTGTGATCAAAATGCATTAACTGGAGCTCTTGAAAAGGGATATATTTCCCTGTGATCCTGACTCTCTTCCGACTAATCTCTAGGGCTCGAGATTCTGCACTACGTCAAGCACACTGCAGAACATTAGGCATCCAGGTGTCTGCTGAGACCCAGCCAATCTGTCCAATGCGGTTGGTAGAGGTGATGGGCGCAGGGGGTTAGCGGATTCCCAGGGAGAAATCTTCCTCACTTTGTAATTTCTTGAGACTTTTTAAAATTGAGGGGTGGGAAGGGAGCGAGGAGGAGGAATGGGCTCTCTGGGGGAAGGAAGAATGAGAAAGGGAAGAATTGAAAATGTGGAACAGAATAAAAGCAAGGAGTGATACAACCTAATAACCTAATAAGCCCAGGTCACTTGTGGCCACTTTTTAGAGATAAGTCCATGGTTCTGCTGTCAGTGTCCATGGCATTTGCATCCATTAACTAATATTTCCTTAAGTGTGGTTTCCTAGCCACCTGCATTAGAGTCTCCCAAAGTACTTGCTAAAATTCAGATTCTTGGCCCCACCCCAGATCTGCTGGATCTCTGCAGCTTGGGAGTCTTCATTATAACAAGCTTCCGCATGGATTATTTTGCTGTTTGCCATGTCTCCTCTTACTTCTCTGGAAACTGCCCCTCGGCTTCTGTGAATTCCTCCCCACCGATCCACACGGTCGCTGTGATGAACTGTCCTGTGCACTGTGGCCCAGCCTCTTCCTTGGCTCTCTGGTCTTAGATGAGCCCCTGCCCCACACTGGGCCAAGAGCAGCTGCCACCTCAGACCCTGCCTTTCTGGCTGCTGCTGAGTGGTCCAGTGGGGGACCACTGGGCCGAACTGGGCCAACCGCTTCTTTCCACATTTGAAAGTATTGAAGGCTACACCATCACAAAAATATTCAGAGACCATCCACCATATTCTGATGTTCAGGAAGGTGACCACAGGAAGAGCACAGAGACTACAATAGACTCGGAAAGAGAAACAGACAAGAGACCGGAGAGGCAGGAGGCCAGTCCAAGTTTGTTCTGAGTCATAGCCTTTCCCCTATGTGGATTTAGTGAGTTACCTGAAAATTCTTATCATAAATTTCCCTTTGAATTGAAGCTAATCTGCCTTTCGTTTCTATTTCTTGTGTCACTAGTAGTATCCAAAAGAGATAAAAGATGCACAAATCCATGTCAGCTATTGTCACTGCCTTTGGCGTGTGGGTGATGGGTCTCCAAAGGTAGCAGCCCCTTTACCTGGGAAATGTTGGGCTGGAAGGTGCTGTGCAAAGTCCTTGTTTCCACGTGTTCAGGGACTAGCCCCTGAGTCCTGAGGATGTGAAGGGCAAGACGCTCATCAGGGGCCCCGAGGTGCTGGTGCAGGATTTTGTTGGCTTCTGGAATGGAAAGTGGCATTGAAAGAGGGATGGGTATCCGGGAACAGTGCAGCCAGATTGCCCTGAAGAGCTTGCAGCACTTCATCCCAGAACTTGCAAAAAAGACAGGTCATTCCAGTGTGTAAACTTTGCCTTGTGAAGGAGTTGTTGATAGGAACAGCTCCTGACTGGGGACACTGCCCCAACCAGGCTCACACCTGCCCTGTGGGCTGCCAATAGCAAAAGAGCCAGAACACACAGAATGTGTAAAGGCAGCCTGTATTTACTTCTGTGGCAGAGGCTTACTGCCAGACTGTTTCCCAGCCTCCCTTGCACTTAAGTGTGGCCATGAGACATCTAATCATCCCTGATATTGACTAAGTCCTCTTCCAATGGAAAGACAAAACATGGTTTCTTGCAATTTCAAGAATAAATGGCTGAGGATCAGGAAACACTTTGAGTCCCATGTGTCTTTGCTCAGCTTTCTCTGGATATCCCGTGTACCCTTCAAAGCCAGCCCCTGTGCCGCCCCCTCTGGAAAGTCCTCCCTCCCTACAAAACACTGAATCACACCACAGCTCTTATGCTCTGTGAAGCTTACTTCAGTCTTTGTCATAGTGCAGCTAGCCATTCATGTGTCAGGACGGATTGTATTATAAATTAGTGCTTGGGAAAGAGCAAGACCCCAAACTCAGACATGAGCCAGATGTAGCTCAGCAGATTCTTCCAACCAACCCCCAGCATCCCTGAGTCTTTGCAGAGAAGGGCTAGAAGAATGATGGAATAAACTTGGAAGAGAAATTCTTGTACTACCATTGGAGCACTTTTGAGGTAATTATGCATTACATGGAAATTAGTTAATTACTAGAACTTGGTGTTCAAAGCTCGAATGGCTGTGACCTGAAAAGGTCAAGTGAAACATAAGACAGACAAGAAAATGTGTATACTTAGACACTTGACAAGACAGCAAAACTCTGCTACAATGGGGCTTTTGTTGGTCGTGCATGCAGTCTCCACTGCCATAATTAAGGTACTGCGCTGTCCACCCCCTCCCCAAAGTGAACCCAGTGATGTAAATAGTTTGCTATACTTTGTAGCCAGCTTACAATTTATGACAATGTGCTTACCGAATTCATCCAAACTGTAGTCTCGTCCTCCATATCTGATCCTATTTCCATCTTCAGAAAGGATGGGTGGTGGGAAGCCTTTGAATCTGGCTACATTTTGAAGCAACTGTGTTGGTTTCAATTGATCTCGCCAGGTATTCACTCCAGAACTGTAAGTAACATCCACACCCGAGTTACTGCAGGCACACAGGTTCGCCCTGCATTTGTATACACACACTCACATACTTATAGGTGCTCCTATGTAAGGAGGGAACAGGGAATATGTTCTGCACTGTAGCTTTTGCATAGAAATCTATTTCAAAGGACTAAAATCCACAATTATTTTGGAGTGTCAGCCAGGTGATTGTTTTTTTCCTCCTTAACTTCCCCCTCTGTGAAAATGGAAAGTTTAGCTGAGATCACTATAATCATAATAGGCAAATTCATAAACTATGAAAAACTGCAAACTATCTCATTAGATAATATACCCTATAGCACTCGGGGAAAGAGGAACACCACAAAATCAGTCATTTGGTAGAGGGGGGATTCCTGTCATCAAACCTTGTCAGGCCCCTGTCCCTGGCATCAAGGAGACAGGCTCGAAGAACAGGAGAGAGGCGGCTGGTTCTCTGAGGGCTCCTAGCTATGCCACCCTGCAGAGCACCGCACTGCTCCAGGGCCAGCCTTCTACCCAGGAGACAGTGCGAATGGTGCCCCCTGGAGCTAGGCAGAGCTGTGGCCCTGGCTCTCCCTTCTGAGGGCTCCTAGCTATGCCACCCTGCAGAGCACCGCACTGCTCCAGGGCCAGCCTTCTACCCAGGAGACAGTGCGAATGGTGCCCCCTGGAGCTAGGCAGAGCTGTGGCCCTGGCTCTCCCTAACTGTCATTAAAAATGATGTGTGTCTGACTCAAAGTAGGCATGGCTCAGCAGAAAGCCAAAGCTTCCTCAGGTATTAATGTCAGAAGGAGCAAATTGTCCATACTTAACGGCTGCAGCAACTTACATGCAGTATTGCTCAGGTATGCCGCAGTGGGACCCAAACCGGGAGAGGAATCTGTTTTCCAGATCAATAACTGTTTCTCCCACTTTTTCATCCCGGGTAAAGGTATCATAATCATACACAGAGATTTTCAGATCTTTTTCTTGAGGTAAGTAGCAGCTCAGTTCATACATCCTAAATAAACAAATGCAAAGTTAGACTCTCTATGATCCTACGCAGGCATTTCAAAAAACCCAGGGCTCTGTGCAGAGATTCCACGGATGGTGGCTCTGGCTGCTGGAGGAGAACGTGGTGACTAGGGAAACTAGGAGGATGGTACCGGTTGGGATTTCTTGACAAGTAGTCCATGTTAGTCATAAGAACAGTATGGGATTATGCACACTTGCTCAAGAGAAGAGCATGGGCTTTGAACATGTAAGTTTGAATCACAGCTCTGCTGCTTGCCAGCTGTAGGACCCTATGCCAATTACTTGATCTGGGCTCAGTTTTCTCACCTGTAAGATTGTGAAAATAATACCTCTTGTTCTGTATTATTATAAGGGTCAAGTGAAGACATGTTTAAATGGGTCCCGTTTGGTATGAATGCAGTGCTCAAAACCCAGGAGCTATAATAATAATTATGATTATTCACATTATTATCACATGCCTATTAACTGGGGTACAGGCATGTCTACCCAGCTGGGACATCAGCAAGGCACAGTACCCTGGCTTATAGCCCTTCAGCTGTGCCCCTACTGTGTTCCCTCCTCTGCCGCAGCAGACACCACCACCCCATGGAACATCCTGGACTCACTGCACAAGAGCACAGGCAGGGGTGTGGCTGGAATGCACTGACAGGGCAGAAACACGGGGCACCAAGAGGCCTCCCTCCCTCACCCCTGGCCCTCTGGGTGTGCCACTTGAAGGCTTTCTGTATGAAAATGCAAACACTTCCGAGCTAAACAATCAAACTTCCTGTGGTAGGTGAGCAATGTGGTGCACCTTCTGAGGGCCAGTAGACTGAAAAGCACAAGCTCCAGGTGGTCAGGGATTGGTTCTGTAGTTGCCGAGTGGAAGGGTCCCAAAGCAGGTGCTCAGGAAATTATGTTGCTGGGAAACTGTAGGAGGCCTCTCCCACCCCTCCTCTCTTTCTGCCTTCACCCCTTCTCCTTGCACTACGTGTGGACGGGTTCCGGCCCTAGGAGCCAGGAATGTTAATTCATTTGAACAGACGGGTGTGTCAGTCCAGGATGTCTCCTACATAAGTTTCAGTGACTTTTCTAGACTGCTGCAGCCAGGCAGTGGGCAGGTGGCCACATGAGAAAAGGTACTGAATCATGACTACATATGAAGGACTATAGCCACTCATGCCCCATAACACCACACCTGTAATACTAGGTTCCCAGGGACATGTGAGGTGTGTCCCTTCAGAAAGATCTTTGGTCAAACATGATGAAACCCACCTCTTGTGGAAGTTCCTCTGGGCAAACTAAAGACTCTAAGAAATCCCACAATTATTATCTTTTTTAATCCAGGTATGTTGGTTTGATGAAGGAATACTGTCTTTCTTGGAACACCAAGGAATATCTTATGCAAAACGCAGACTTCCTGTTGAATGTGATCTGGAGGATGCTCTGATGTGATAGGAATACAATTAATGACAGCCGAGCACATAGGAAAGGTTGCCTCTTCCTGAATTCCTGTCTCAGAACTGTGAGGGTCTCTGCTGAAACTCAGGCCTTAAGACTGCAGCCAGGCAGCAGAACTGTGGGAGGGGTTGCAGAGCTGATGTGTCTGTGGCTCCACCTGCTGGACGGGGGGAAGTCTGCACAGACACTGTACAGGATTGGCTGAGTGGAGCCTGACAGAGTCACTTCCTCCCGGAAAGACTCCAAGCAAGACTTTTCCTGCCACTTCATTAAGCTTGTGCTTGGCTCCTCTGAGACGAACAATTCAGACAGGGCTGCCTTTCTCCCATAAAAGCTGGCTTTCCCGCTTCCCTGTCTCCCTCACATGGAGCCTTCTTCCTGCTCTGTGTGCCTTTTCCTGTCTAGACCTCAGGGCTGGATCAGCGGAAGAAAAGGCAAACGATCATATTGCCATGCCAGAGGATTACTTCCCCTCCCTGGTCTTGGCATGCAGCCTCGGGGTGCATGTGTGTGCACACGTGTCCAGGAGTTGAGGGGGTGTGAGGTCCTGTGTGTGTTACAGGGTGTGGGAATGTGTAGGGGTGAACAGTGGGTGCAAACCTGAGAGACCGTGACTGAGTGACAAAGGCTTCCTTGTGTGTGTGCACACAGGCCCACGTGCGTGAGAGAAGGAATGGGTAAGGCCACAGACCAATGTGAGTAGAAAAGATGGGCAAGATGAAGGTAAAATACAGGCTACGTGTCAAACAAGCAGTGTTCTGCTTGGCGTGGTTCTGGGAAAATAACACTTTTCACAAATGTTTTATACAAACAACATTTTTGCATAAGTGATAGCTTTGCCGTGAGTAGGGAGCATTACCAAGGGTGTCAGAAAAGCCTGGGGCTTCATCAGGAATTTCTACCTGATTCTTGGCTCTGCCATGTACGAGAGCTCTGGCAACCGAGCTCCGGCGCCGTTTCCCTCACCTGTAAGGTAAGGCGTTCGTCACTGCCCTGCCCAGCTAATAGGTTTGCATGGAGATAAAATCAGATAGTGGCAAAGCAAAGAGCTGAGTGTGGAGACCACGCAGACGCTGTAGTCAGAAAGTCTGGGTCTGAGGTCTGACTGCCTCTTACCAGATGGGCACGTTCAGAACTGATTCTCTCTGTGCCTCAGTTTCCTCTGTTGTCAAATGGGGATAACAATAGCACCTCAGAGTTGTGAGATTTTTTAGGGTTTTTTTGGTACATAAACGGTATAGCATAGTTCATGCATACTGTAAAAGCTCAGCAAATGTTAGCTCTTATTAAATATGGACACTATTTATAGCTGAAAAATGCTGGTCCTATTTAAAGGTGACTTGGAATTGCCTAACCCTTGAGAAGGTTCTGATGAGACAAAGGTAATTCCAGAAACAAGTCTAAAGTGGCAATGATGATGAAAATAATGCTTTTTCGAGAATCCTCGGGAACAGAAGACAGAGGGAGCAGGGTGTTTTGCCCCGTCACTTTCCGCTCCTCCTCAATTTTGAAAACAGGCCATGAACACATTCACATCACAACTGTAGAATCAAAGCATCCAGAAAACAGAACCCAAACTGGACTCAGGCAGTGAGAACCCAAACGTTGCTACAGGCAAGTCACTCTGCCCACCCTTCTTGCCCAGAACCCTCCAACTTAGCAGACTCCTGGGCCTTGTGGAAACCCCATGCTGGCACCCTCTGGGCCCCCAATGCCTGGTGCCATCACACCCCCCCACCAGGCCTCAGAACAGAGAAGCCCATCTCCTGAAGTGGTTTTATTGTGTTCATGGCACTTTTTACTTCCACTTGGGCACTTCATATTCTATTATCTGCTCTGGTGACTGGAATGTTTGTCTAGTTTGCAGTCAAGTTTCAGAGGATAGAACACAGCTTGGTACATCCTCAGTACATACACTGTGAAAAAATGAACCACAGAAAAATTTAGAAATGTGCGTTACCTGCCGAAGACCGGGTTGAGCGTGTTGGGAATGTAGTGGTCTCGATCTTCAATTGCTTTTTTGCCCAACGTTATTTTTATATAAGGGTCACACTGTGGGGACAAAAGAGAGGGCATGCTCTGTTATCCTGGGATGCAAGTGTAAGTCAGTTTCTGGGATAGGCTCAGGGGTGCCTCCACACCCTCTCTTGCGGGGCTGGCGAGGTCTGAGCAGTATTTCCCTTTCAGAGGCACCCAGCCAGCATGCCTTCAGAGAAGCCTGTTGGGGTGCAGAGGGTGGCAGGGAGGAGTGACAGAGAAAAATCTCCTCCAAGGTCACAGCTGTAAAGTGAGAAGCATGAAGCAGAGGATCCAAGCCCCTTCCAGCTCGCAGATAAATCCCCACTGGGACAATCCTCCTGAATAAATCGTTTTGATAGAGTATCTCTCCCCTAGTGAGATAACAGACGCCCAAAAAGAAAGAACAGGACAATTACTGCGGCTGATGACTGTAATTATCTTGCTACAGGAGAAGGCCCCACACCCAAACTCTTACCAGGCCATTGTTGTCCTGGGGCTGGAGCTCTAAGCCTCGAACAATGTAAATCCTAACTGTGCATTCCTGAGGGACGCTGTCAGGTAATTCCCGGAACTGCCTGGGAGGGGCTGGCATGCTGGGGTCATCCGACAGCGAGTAGATTCTAAAGGAGCCCTAAAACAGAGACGCACCGATTACTCACAGGGCCCTTGGAGACCTGGGCTGAGGGCTCCTGGTCAGTGACCTCCCCCGCAGGACACTCCGGGGCAGCCACACGGGCTGTGGGATTGGGTGACAGCCCCTCCCTGTGGGACGGGCTCCTTTTTGTGAAAGAACATTTATTGCACTTTGTGTATTTCCAGCAGGGAAAGTGAAATGATGATAAAGTAATTACTAACAGGTCAAGGGGAGAAGAAAGGTCAGGACAGAGGCAGGGAGACAGGGCAAAAATCTAGGCAAGATGGGATGACAAAGCATGACGACAAAGGAGGTAGTGAGGAGTGAAATTCTGCACGTATTTTGAAGATAGGAATAAAAGTGATTGTTTTTGAATCCACTGAAGTACTAAGGGTGATGTCCTTTTCCTTTCATCACCCCTGTAAACCTGTTCCCACACCCAGGCAAACTCCTGTTCATCCCTCAGGTCTCAGCTAAAAGTGTCACCTTTCCCACAAAACCTCCCTGACTGACTCCAGCTGAGTGTGTGTCCTACCAACCAACCCCACACTCACCCCCGTCACGCACTGGCCCCTGCACTTTGAGAGTCTGTTTACTTTATAGTCTTCACTAGATTCTGTGCTTCCTCAGGTGGAATTATGTCTTGCTCATCACTCTATCTCCAGGATCCAATATGGTGATGGGCCTCTAGTAGGGGCACAATAAATATTTTTTGAACTAGTAATTCACCAGGTCAGCTTGAGAGGCCATATATTTTATCCTGAAACCAGCTTAAGTACAAGAGAAAATTTACTCAAGTTGGAATCAGAGCACGTGGGCCTTGGTTCCAGCTACATTCACGCAGTAAAGTAGCATGAAGTAATAAGCACCTACTATGTGCCAGACACTGGGGCCCCGAAAATGAAGTGAAGGAACCCAGTCTGGCACAGGGATGTTCTAAAGTTGTGACTCATGCTGTCTTTGATTGCTTGGCGGGAAGCGTCATAAGGATTTTGAGACCACGTGAAGTGTATATGCCCTGATCGATTAGCGATGTCTGCTACTGGAAAGGATCAGGGAGTAACAGCACAGGGGCCTTGGATCTGCCAACTGTGGCTGGAGGGAGGGGAGGCCGTGAAAGCAGATGCTTACAATAGGAAAGGTGCTTTAATAACGGCAAGAACCCAGATCTGCAGGAGCCGAGAGCAGGAGGCCCTGCCGAGAACCATCAGGAGGCACTTCACAAAGAATGTGACATTTGAGCTGGTACTGAAGAACAGCAGGAGTTTGTCAGACCACAAAGAGGGAAGGAAGTAAGAGTCAGTCCCAAGGCTCCAAGTTGTGAGAGGACAAGGCGTGTTTGGGGCTTGCAAGAGGTCCTCCAGAGCAGGAGGGTGGGGTGGCAGGGGAGACAAGGAGCTTAAGAAAGGCTAGCTCCACCTTAGGAAGGAGTTGAGACTTGATCCAGTGGAAACCCAAGCAATATCTTCAAACAGTCAAGAAATATGATCAGATCTGCTGCACGAGGAATGGACTGGAATGAGATGAGGAAGGTCACAAGGGCCATCAGTTGAGTGGTTGCTGCAGTGGTCCTGCTGAGGGCCTCGGAGTCGGGACCCAGCGGCAGGGAGGGGGGCTAGATCTCTGAGAGCTTGGGTCCACAGGACTCAAGATTGTATGGCCTGAGTAGGGAGAAAACTGCTGAGAATGGCTTTGCATGTTCTGCCCTGACCCTACATTTTCCTTGTTAGGACCTCCTAGCATCCTTCAGATGTCAGCGTGTATGTTCCTCTTCTAAAGACGGGTTGTCCTTTGTTCTAGCTCTATAAGGAAAATAAAGGTGGGTTTTAAAGAGGACAATCTCACAGTTTTACTCACCTTAAACTCTCCTACCACAGAGGGATCTTCATTCTCATCTGATTTGCCTCGATACAGCTTGAAAGTATCTGAGAAGTCTGTCAAGCCTTCAAATTCTGTTACTTCCTCCAGCTCACAGTCATACACCTGAAAACCATCAACACATTCTAATTTCTCATTGAAATATAGGTGAGTCTAAAATAAAAAATACTGATAATACCAAATGGGCATGAGGATGTGGATGGAGCAACTGGAACTCTGATATTGTTAGTTGAGTGTAGAATGATGCAAACACTTTGGGAAAACATCTGGCAGTTGCTTGTGGAATTAAATATCTGCATATTCTATGATGCAGAAATTGCATTCCTGAGTATTTATCCAAGAGAAATGAAAACATGTCCACATGGTACAGGAATGTCTATAGTGTTATCATCAGAAGAATGACTAAACAAATGGTGGTCTATCCATACAAAAAAACACCACTCCACAGTATTATGATTAGTACACATGGTGTGGGGGGGATCACGGGGAAGACAGTGTAGCACAGAGAAGACAAGTAGTGACTCTGTGGCATCTTACTACACTGATGGACAGTGACTGCAATGGGGCATGGGGGGGGGTCTTGATAATATGGGTGAATGTAGTAACCACATTGTTTTTCATGTGAAGCCTTCATAAGGTGTATATCAATAATACTGTAATGAAAAAATTGTAAAAAAAAAATGGTTAAAGACATTTGGGCACACACACACACACACACCACCACCACCACTCCACAATAAAAAGGGACAAACCATGGATACACATGACAATATGATGGATCTCAAACTACTGTGTTGGGCTATGGAAGCAAGATACACACAAAACACACACTATATGAGCTCGTTTATAAGAAGTAAGAGAACAGGCAAAACCACTCCAGGCTGATGAAATCAGGTCACTGTCTCTTAGAGGGATGGAAGGTTGTGAGTAACTGACTAGAAGTGGGTACAGAGGAGTTTTCTCCAGGGATAGAAATGCTCTTTGCCTTATTTTGGATAGTGGTTTACATAGATGTATATAATTATGAATCATCGAGTGGATTACTTTATTGTGATGTAAATATACCTCAATAAAAAACTAGAAGAATAGTGGAGGAAGGATGGGGAGGGAAAGAAGGAAGCAGAGAGGGAGGGAGGGAGGGA